AAGATCATTTACAATGATGAGATCTTAGTCAAGTTTGAATTTGACAATTTTTCGATCGACGGAATTTGAGTTATTGCCCTTGACTTAGTAAAAACCCATCAAAAATTTGTTGGCGATAGAGGTGAATTTTATTAAATAATGTGTGTTTGTTTAAATCAACAATATCTTGCACAAATTAGATTTTTGGTATGATTTGACTCAGATAGGTGACTGCCCTTGATATACTGTAAATGTATCAGGAAAATGGGCGTATCTTGCTAGGCAACCACTTGTTGAGAATACATCACCAAATTGAAAGTGGCCGCTTTACGCTTATATAACATTACACTTGTTATTTATAGGACAGTTTGCCTTTAGCGCTGTATTTGGTTCAAAATAGGATTCAAACCAGATGGTATGGATTATTAAAATCACTTGGTTATTCTTTGGTTAGAAATGAATAATCTAATAAAATATAATTATTTCTACGTAGAATCTAATTCATTTTTTCAATTTTAAATTTTATAGAACACAATTTAGATCGTACACATTTTAGAACGTAGCACGAGGATTGTACACATCATTGTGAACTTTTGTTTGAAAGAAAACCTGTGTATAGAACAATACAGTTTTAGATAAGATAAGTCAATTGAATCATATTAAAAGGGACAGACAGGCCATTTTTTGACCAATCATCATACTTTTCACAGCTCGCCTCAGAAATTTGAGTCTTCAAAATTCCATGTCTGTTATATTATCTCCATTTGAATTTATGATACTCTGTGATATATAGAAAAGACACATGTAGACATAGTGTGTAAAATTCCTAGTTTGAATTATTTCTAAAGGAATTATGTGATTTTCGTACATTTCTAGTACTTCTACAGGCCCTTCTGTCCCTTTAAGTCATTTGTTAAAGTTTTGCTAAGTTTTAATTCATTCCCAGCTGTTTAGATGAGGATTTTATATCCGAAACCCGCCTAAATAGGATGATACTAGCTCTTGTCAATTCATTATCAAGACTTTAAACTTCAATTGGTTTTATTGTATTTCAAATGACAGTGATATGGATGGTGGTGAAGGCTAAACTTTGGTTTTGAAAGAAATCCTGTCTATCAAGTTCTGTTATTATCAAAATTTTAAAATTTAACTATGTTCTCCCGTCAATGGAAAATGATTTGAATCAAAAGTGCGTCTATCGGATCAGACACTCAGACGATACCAAGCAAGATTCAAAATTCGCGCCCCCTTTTTAAGGATGGCAAAATAACGCTTTTACACACTGCTGTTGAAAAAATGCAGAATGACAAAAAAAAATTATTTGATTTTATTTCATTTTCGCGGCAATATGGATGTAAATTGTCTTTTAAAAAACTTTTAAGGCACAATTCTTGACAGATTCTGACGACACTTAGTGTGTTTGTAATCACCCAAGTATGAACCCCCATGGAAAATAAAAATAATTGGAAAATATTTAAAATTAATCATATTTTCTGGATAACACGTTCAGCTCGTAAATGCTCTCAAAGGGCACAATTCTTAAAGGATTTTTACGAAACTTGGTGAAATTGTTTATTATTGAAAATCAAAATATCGAAAAATGTTTTATATGAGTTTGTAGCTCATAGTCACTAAAAGGTTCACTTCTAGTTGGATTTTGACAAAACTTAGTAATAAAGTTCAGTATCACCCCAAAAAGATTGAAAGAAGTGTATGTCTGAATATTAATATTTTATACTGGTGATTGTTGCTGTACTGCCAAATTCAAAATCAAAGCTACCAGTGGACCAGCTTCCTTGGCGAGCTATGTATGATACATATTATAACCAAAGCTGGGATGGAATTGGCTAATTTGTGGGCGTATACATAATGGGAAGGCACTTGTCTTTACAAGTATAACTATATGATCTTCACATACATTTTGTGATTTTTGATATATTTTTGTCTACCCAACTTTGTAATTTATCAAACAATGCTGCGATGGAATTACCTGCAATGTGGGTGTATATGTCTTTGTCAATCACATGTCAATGTA